TTAAGGAAAAAATATAAAATAAAATTGGAGTCAAATTTTTAAAGTCAAAGATAAATGTGATTTCTCTTGCATAAAGTAGCATTTTAGAATTTTAGCAAATATTTCCATTCAATAAATTCTACCATTATGTGCTATGTTTCTTGATATTTATCACCTACAAATTTTAGAAATTGAGAATCTCAAAAACTAATCTGGCCCCATTTACGATAGTGAAGGTACTGATATGCCTTTCATGTTAAATGTCTATCAGACATAATAGATTCCTGCTGAATTTATTACTCTGATTTTCTTCACCTTCATGGGGAATCATATATAAAAATAAAAAAAGTTACCATTAAAAAGTTATATATATAATCTTTGGAAATGAGGGACTGAAAGCAGAATCTTGCCTATATATGAAATGCAGTTAACACACCAGCTGGACCCTATTTCCCTAATGCAGGGTCATTCTTCTCTTATTTAAAGATGTGAAAAATGCTAAAAGGTGCCATCAATGGTGAGTTAAAAAACCCTAGAGTGATTAAGATCCATTTCAGATTCAGCAAATAACACTTCAAACTGATTGCGCTGAAGCAAAAATAAGTGAAGAACATCTAAGATAGTAAGTAGAAGGGCACCAAATTTCTCTGAAAAATTTACCTGAAGTAAAAAATATTACAGAAATCATAAAACTATATAAACTATCTTCAAAAGAAAATAGTATTGAGACAAAATTAGATAATGTTACTTGTAGAATCAACAAAAACTGTTTTGTGAAATGTCAAAATATTTTTTAAATAGCATTTTTTAATAAAACAATTTTCTTTTCCCAATTATAAAAGAAGTAAATGCTTACTGTAAAAAACTTTTTTAAAATAGACCAACAAAGACAAAAAAAACCTAATCACATCACTTTTAATATTTTAAAAGACAACCACTTTTACTATTAAACAAAGTTATGAATATTTTAAATTACACAGCAAAACTAGCACTGGATAAAACTTTCATTTACAAGAAACCCTGAAAAGGGAATCTACTTTTTTATTTTCTAATCTTTTTGTTTTCCTCAACATCTATACTTTTGATTGTAGAGTAGGCTACTTTCTACTTCCTTCTTAATCTTAAAGTTTTGCTCAGGGAAAAGAGCAACTGTTGGAACCTACACATCAGAATGTAGCATCGACTCAGCAACATAAGCTCCCGTGCACTGTGATGGTCCTACCTGAACACGGGTGATGCTATCTATGCTCAGCATGTTAGATTAGCAAATTCCCCACGTCTTAATCTTCTTTATCAGTTTATCACATACTTGTATCTTTTTCACATCTAATGATTAGCTTCCAGGGTGGGGGGAGACAAAGGGAAGACCTTTAAGGCAACAACTTCATTTATTTCTAAACTCATGTAATTAATGACATATGTAGAGCAAATCTGCTTATTAATCTTTGTTTCTTCCAGGTAACATTTTTATGACAAAACATCTTAAATTCCATTTTAGTAAATAAGGAAAACTATGATGCAAAGACAACTGGCAAGACATTCCAGAACAATCCTTTCTTACTATTGCCAACCTGATGAAAGAAAAATGTTCAAGCATATTTATGTTACAAATTTTGCTATTATGTTACTAACAAAGTAAGGAGGTAGGTTAATCTCAGAATCATCCCTGTCTCATCCCAACCCCTGCTTGCTGGATATCTTTAATCTCAATGTCTTCGTGAATAATTATTCCTGGGAAATCAGCTTTCAGAAATTATGAAAGTTTTCTATATGCAAAAACATCAAAGCTTAAGCCAAAATCTGAGTTTAAACAGATTTGAAAAAAAATGCTATCTTAGCATTTTGGCAAAAAAATACTCAACGGATTAATTCTGTTATAAAATATAATTTTCTTAAATTGGAATCAGTGATCTTTAAATTGTGATGGCAATAAACATAACAGCAACAAAAATAATAACACAGCAGCTACCACATTCTGAACACTTTCTATGTGCCAGGAGCCATATTGAGCACATAGACTACATTATCTCATTCAGTCCTCAAATCCACCCTAACAGGAAGGTACAAATCTCTGGATTTTACTGACGAGAAATCTGAGGACTTGGAACATTCAGTATCTTATCTAGGGCCAAACAGCTTATGAGGGTCAGGATTTCAGTCCAGGTTTCACACACTAGTAGGTTATAAAGCCTTCCAACACTATATAACTTTAGAGACAACTCTACAGACAATAGAACCTGCAGTAATAGACTACAGCATTCTTGTTTGGCTGTCATTTATACCCAAATTGGATAATTACCACAGAATAAAATATAATAATAAGAATAATGGTTATGCTTTCTATTCTTAAAACATATTAACCTAAAAAAAAGAGTAGTTTCAAAATAAGTGTTATCTTACTATATGAACACATATTAAAATATGTCAAAGGGAAATTAAGTGGCTTGCCCTAGAGTTGCACATGAAACATTATAATAAATGAAGAATCTAAACCTAGAACTAAGTTTAGGCTCCCCTTTCAGCCTATGATAAAGCTTTTTCCTTCTCTACTCTTCTCCTTTAAAAAATTTTTTTTCAAAAAGAAATTTACAGAGAATTGAAAAAACCATTCAATGAAAACTTAACAAAAATGAACAAAAGTAATGTCAAGGAGATGCCATGCCCCAGGGTTTCAGTTTGATTACAGACTAAACTGGCAAGTTTGGGCTTATCAGATTGCTGTTTTAATACGAAATTTGTAAGATCAAGGAAAAGATACCACAAGATAAGGAAAGAACTGAAGCAAAAGATTTAGGTGATAAAAAAGAAAACTAACAGAAATTTCTAGGGAAAAGGTACAGACAGAGGTACAAAGATCTGAAGGCTTTTGGGGGGCAAAAAAAGCAGTAAAATAGCACAGTGGTTAAATGTACAGGCTTTGGCTCCAGCACAACTGAGTGTGCATGAACCTCTGCCATTGACTAATTGAGTGACCGTGGATAAATCACTTTTCTTTAGTTTCTTCATCTCTAGGATGGGGATAAGAACAGTACCTATCTCAAAGGTTGTAGTGAGGATTAAATGTTATAATATATGTAAAACTTAACACAGTGCCTGGCACATAATTGTGGTTATTAATTATCATGAGGAAAAGCCAGAAGAGGAAAACGCAATGAACACAGCCTCAGGTTTTCTGTGCAGAAGATCTACTGAGTCTTTTCTAACTATATCTACACACCACACTAAAGGAATCAAAATCTGATTCTCAAATAATACACATAACATTGAAGCTTCTGTTTATGACAACTGAAAAGTTAGCAATATTATGCTTCCTTGTACTTTATCTTCCTTGAACTGGTCTGAACTTGCAAGTTCAGACTTTCAACTTATCAAAACTTTCAGCATTTCAACTTATCCAAGATGCCACGGCAAACAAGGGACAAGAATGACTATAAACAACCCAAACCACAGAAATGTGAAACAAATCTTGATTCCCCAATAAACTCTTGTTCTAAGTAAGCGTTTTATTAAACTGAAGCAAAGTCTGATTTTGATGTATAGAATACTATTTTATTCTTTATTTTAAACCTTTCTTACATGTTTAAAAATATACATGAGTTCAGAGCAACCTCAATAAAATGATAACATTTCTACTAAAGTACCTCTGAAGTCAAACCACCAGTGTGCAAACATGGTTGGCTTCCAATTTGAAGAGTCATAGGCACATTTCATTAAATGCATTTCATAAAACAAAGAAATCAAAAATGCTGAGAAAAATACTCATTTTATATAAATTTTAAAATATCTATCAGGCAGGAAACTTACGGTAAAAAAAAGTAAGATTTAGATGTTTTACCACTCACACCTGCTTCACTACTAATTCCTCAAATGCCATTTTGCTACATTTAAACCTCTGAAAATTTATTACACAATTCCACGTAGCACACTAAAAAATAAGTTTATTTAATCTCTGAATATGAAAACAGATCATTACAAAAGAAAATACTGACGGCTCCCAACTGTATTTGATAATTAAGTATATTGTATTCTCAGCAGCACTAAGAATGCAGCTTGGTCTAATATAAATATCTAAATAACAGCCACACAAAAGTATTTTTCTCTTAAAAGAAGTTTTTGTATTTTTTCCCCAATGTTGATGACTTAAGCAACATTAATCTATATATTGTGCTAAGAAAACATTAGGCACAGATCACAGAATATAATTTATATTTTCTTTGCTGTAAAAAATATAGTATGTGCAAATGCATATCACACAAACGATTAGTGAACACAACAGTAAGCTTTGTAGACCTAACACAAAAAGGTTAATATTTTACTCAAAAAAAAAATGGACGCACCAAGTAGCTTTAAGATCTATACCTCATTTCTGGGTGAGTACTCTGCATCTGCATTAGAATTGTTTGTGGATTTTCTCAAAGAAAAACAAAGCTGTACTATAGCAAAAAAGATACCACTTTGGGCAGATGAACTAATTTAAAAGGAACCAGATAAAAATGTTTCCAAAAGCAATTAAAAACACTTAACACAATATCTCAAACAGGCTATAGATTGCTTTGTTGCAAGGAATAAATTAACATTACAATTGCTTTATTTAGTAGATTCTTTCATTAGCTAAGACACTTCTGGATTAAGGTACCAAAGGATGCAGATCAAGAAAAATGGAGAGAAAAAAATAGCACACTGTTAGGAAGAGGAGGAAGCCAAGAAAAATTTTACCCAGAATAAACAAAAATACTGTTTCTTTTTGTTCATAGCAGAAAATTTGTGCCACAGATACTATAAAAACACAAGCAAATGGGTTGTGTGGCAGGTGATAAAATACAACGCTTACTATGCATTCTCCATAGAAAGACCACTTAGAGATTATAGATTAGTGTGTTTAAAAGTACACTTTGATGCAAAAGATTATACTTTGCTACATATATAATATGTAGCATTTTTCTATGAAGGGCAATTTATGTAAGTAATTTCTACAAACACTGAGAGAGGGAGCGAGACAGACAGACAGAATGAGAGCCAGCGAGAGAGGATAGAGTTCCATCAGAGACAGAGACGCCAAGGGGCTTTGCTCAGGTCCTGTGGAAGATCTGAGATACTTTTTTCATTCTCAGTGCTTAATTTTTCCTATTACTGCACATTTATACTCACATACTATAATTATCTCACAAGACTGCCCTCTATACATCCTTTTCTTTAGCCTTTTTCTCCATGAAAAAAGAAAAAAAGAAACCATTAGTCCCTTCACCCCATAGTCAAATATTCAAGTAAATATTTCTCTAGTGGCAAATTTCCAGATGAATCAAGAATACAATCCAAAACCACTGTCAGATTACATTTGATTTACTGTGTAGTTCTCTTCAAATGGAGCAGGAATTAGCCCGCTTCCTAGGTTTAGGGTCTCGTGCTTCCTGATCCTTCACACACATACAAGATGTGCACATTGTCTCGGACAGTCTTCGGAGGCCTAGCCGGAAAACACTGTTGGAAAGGCTGTATATTACACAGTTACAAAAACTATTACTTATAGCAAGCCAGGTTGTCAGGAAGGACAGTGTTGGATTGTCCAAGACCCGGGAGCTTTCTAGAAGAAAGTAAATGATATAGGGGAGCCACAGCATGTAAAACACACTAGTTATCCGAAACAAAACCATGGCGTAGCGACGGTCAGGGCTATGCCCAGTCTCTCCAGAGGCATCCACCTCGTGCCTAGGGAATCGGGCCCTCCGATCATTTATTTCTTTGGTGTGCTGCCGGCAAATTTTGAAAATGTGGAAGTAAGTGAAGCAGACAACAAAGGCAGCAGGAGCATATAGTAAACAAACAATAAAGCCAGTAAAATAGGCACTGGTGAGCCAGGAGGTGGCACACCATTCAAAAATGTCACCATGGTAACCAGGTTTCCCCCATCCCAAAAAGGAAGGCAAGAATATTAGGCAAGAGTAGATCCAGATCAAAATAATGCAAACTCTCAGGCGACAAGGGGTGACCAGTTGATTGTAGGAAAGAGGCTTGGTTATTGCAAGATAGCGATCCAAACTAATGCAAGCAAGACATGCCATAGAAACACTTTTTAGAACTGAGATGATGTATCCAAAAACCTGGCAAGTCAATGACTCGTGGATACCTGTGGAGTAGTGGAGAAGTGAAAGAGTAGGAACCAAGCAGCTAACTCCAACGAAAAGATCAGCATATGCCATTGTCTGAATGAAATAGCTGGTAGTATAATGGTGCAAGAGTGGAGCACAATGAAAGACAAAGATGACTGTTAAATTCCCAGCAATGATTAGAAATGTCAGCAAGACAATAACAACTGTCTCAAAGACGCAGACATCCACCGCACCGTAGTGGCCAAATCCAAGTGGGCAGGAGTGATGTTCGGACGCATTCACAATGCCACTGCTCATGTTCAGGATCCTCCATTCAATCCACCTGGATTCATTCATGGCTTGGAATTAAGGGAACCTGCAGCCTTGGCTACAGCAAGCAGGTGCGCTGCCCAGCATCTGTTAAACTCTGCATATGAGTGTCTCACGATCAGCTTCGGTAGACAGTGGCAGTGCTTCTGTCACAGCTGAGCATCCCCGAGAGTGCTCAAGTGTCTTCATCAGCCTCAGTGCAGTAGTGACACACCTCAGCTTTGGTGGGGAAGGGAGGGGGATAAGCTAGAAAGGAGGTGAAAAAAGGTCACTGATTAGCTTCCTCTGGTGCTCTCAAACAAGCTTTTGCAGACACAAGGCACTTCTGGAGAAAATGGATTTCTGATTACCTTGAACTATGAAAAATTAAATTTGTAAAAAGAAAAAAAATCAATTGCCAAGGAAAGAAAAGCTTTTGTGGGCTGTTTGTTCTCTTCAGAAAGGTAGTTTCTTAGGGATCAACTAGAAAGAATAAGAAAAGATAAAGTCTTAAATTGTCTCAGGCTTCCTGTTTCATCTATCCTGAGAAGTTGATTCATATTTTAGAATTTAAATAATTAAGATCTCAGAATTGGTTGGAAAGCTAAGAAAAAGTTCATTGTGGCAAAGAGTGTCTTTGGACTCAGTTTAGGGTTTGATGCTGGTGGGAAAACTTTATGATCCATTTCTGTAGACAGGTAAGAACACCCCACCCCAACAAAGTTAATTCCAAAATACATCTCTATTTGGGCACAAAGGAGCAGAATACAGGTAAGAGACTCCAGATTGCCCTATAACTCTCGGGAGGAAAAAAGCATATTTCTCATGGGGAAGACAATATGCAATGGTTAACACCTGACAAAATATGATAAACTTCTGAAGTTTTAATTCTGCGTGCATTTTTTAAGCATTCAGATGCAAACAGTTTTAGTCTATTATAGTTACTGATGCTACCATCAGCAATGTAATCTATACTTCTTCCTTTTAAAAAGGAAATCTATTTTGCTATTAATTTTGGCATCAGTAACTGAAAATAACTTTCATTAACTGATACACCACTTTCCTTATAATGGAGCATGATCATAAAATATACAGCTCAAAATTATTTCTCACTTTTGTAACCACACCTATATCTCACACATATATGTTAATACATATGAAATTCAGACAATAACAGCAACTTTTCTATATACTCTGAGCCTATTTGACTACAAATGTTGCCATTATTTATTACTTAAGTATTTCTAGTAGGCTTCATAGTCTATGCTTCTGTATCTTTTCTATTTTCATTAGATGATTAACATATTAAATCATTCTTCGACTAAATCTTATGAAAGTGGAAAATTACCTTGTTTGCTATATTTACAGTTATATAGCAGCCACATATTAAGAAAATGACTCTTCTATTTCTGTATTCTATTTTGAGCAAGTACTCAATTAATACAGGGGCCATTAGGTAGATTATAAGATGGTCTTGTTTTAAAATACCTCTAAAGCATCAAGATGAGTTTAAATCCTAGAGTTTGAAATACTGAAAGGCTGGCAAGATAGAATCCATCCAAAAGGCTTCCAAGGTCATTCTGATATCAGGTTAACATTTGTCACAAGTCTTTTTTAAAGTACAGGCATTTCAGAGAGTCTCTTGTCAGTCTTTGTTGTCATATCTTTTGAAGAAATACCATGCACTAGAAATAAAAACATTTCCTTCAGGAACAATGCAGCAGCTTAATAAAAAGCATTCTTCTGAAAGTTATTTTCTCACGCACTACCAAGTCATTCAAGGAAGTCTTTCTTCTTTTATAATAGCCACAGGATAGTCCTTGTACATTCCTAGTTTCACTTGTCACAAAATAGTTCTCTTGTTATAGGAATAAGGCAATGCTTCTCACCTACATTCACTCTTATCAGCTGCTAGGCTGGCTGCTTGATTCAGAAGTCCAATTTACTGCGATGCAGTTAGCAGGATGCTGTCGGTATATTCTTCACAGTCTCTCAGTATCACTGCCTCCACCTGAGCCGGAGCCCTGCTCCTCCTCCTCATCCTGAGCTGATGCAGAAGAACTTACCATCAGAAAGGTGACTCGGTCCTCCTGCCCCAATCAACAGCACAGCCAATGGCTACTGCAGCTGAAACTGTCACTAGGTAACAGTTGCCAGGCACATGCAGGCTTATAGACTTACTCGGCAAGCTCCCGTCAAGATTGACAAAAGAAGACAACAGAACTGACCAATCGTTATAACATGCTAACGGCATGTATGAATTTCCAAAGGTATTTTCCTTATAGCATTTGTAAAGATTATTTCCTATGGACAGGACAGGAAAAAAAAAAACTGGGATACATCTTTAAACCCTATAGAGAAACTACCACAAGGTACTATGACACTAAAAAGTCAGCAGTAATCTAATGCTCACGGCAGGAAAAACTTATTAATTATTAAAAATCAGCTAAGTCTTCATGAACTTCATGAACTCAATTTTTACTCTCTAAAATATAATTATATTTTGATTAATAGAAGTTAACTCATTTAATAATCTCTCCAGTCCCTGCCACATCCACACTAAATTGCTGAATTTAACCGTACAAACAAAGCATTGGAACTAACACCTCTATAGTAAAACCTATTGGGGGAAATGTTTAAGGTCAGATACGCCCTCAGAAGAGTAGACATGAGAAATAAATAGAATGATGGTTTACTCCACTTTTTATCCTAATATGAAAAAGAGTTACAGAACTTTGTCATACAGTGCTTGAGCTACCCATACCCAAGTTAGAAGAATACAAATTAAGTTCACTTGTTTCATGGAGGTTAAAAACATTTCCATTTATTTTCACTTACTATAGACAAACATTCACTATTTTAAGCCTATTTCTATGGGGTCAGCATTTTTCTTAAAAGTGACTTAGAACTAATTTACAAATTATTTCAGAATTAAATCAGGGCTGGCCCAGCGACATAGTGGTTAAGTTCGTGTGCTCTGCTTCAGCGGCCCAGAGTTCGCAGGTTCGGATCCTGGGCACAGACCTACACACCACTTATCAAGTCATGCTGTGGCACGTGTCCCACACATAAAGTAGAGGAAGATGGGCACAGATGTTAGCCCAGGGCCAATCTTCCTCAGCAGAAAGAGGAGGATTGGCAACAGATGATAGCTCAGGGCTAATCTTCCTCACCAAAAAAAATAATAATAATAAGAATTAAATCAGAAAATTAAGATGAAAATGGAAGATAACTAACATTTGTTGAGCAAATTCTATGTGCCAAGCATTTTGAGCATTTTGCTATGTGCTTCATATATTTTCTCTCTATAATAATCTTAAATCTACATGCAGTAAGTACCCACCATTATCATTTTCCAAAGGAAGAAAGTGGGTACTAGAGAAGGTTAAGTATAACTTGCCCACTATTACAGAGTCATGAAACTAGGATTAAAACAGGTCAAAATTGTCATTCTTAACACCATGTTGATGAACCTCTCCCTCCTTCCCTCCCCTTTCCACTGATAGCTGCCAGTCCAGAAATGTCTAAAAAGAATTATTTTGGATTTCAAAAAATAATTTCTAAAGAATAGAAAACCTTATTCTTTCCTCTGTGTTGAACTGTATTTCAGAAAGACCATATTATTGTTAAAATCTTCAGGAGTTTAGGTGAAATATAGAATGGGAAATGCATTTCTCATTACCAGCAAAATTTATAAAATAATCTTAGAATGAGTACAATGATGAGGTTTGAAAGTAAATGTTTAAATATAATACAAAAAGGCTAGAAAGTCCTATTTCACAGGGATGCAACCTGACTTTTAGGGATAACTAAAAGAACTAAAATCAAACAAGATTGGCTTTAGCTAACATTGTCCTTTATAATAATAATAAATATTCAAAATAAAAATTTCATTTGATAAATATATAGGTCCCATATTCCATACAAAAGACTTAAATAGGAAGCTTTACTACAAAACCATTGAAAAATACACCATCAATTATTAAAGCTAGTTCAAGTCACCAAAATCTAAACAAATCATTTTAAAAATATAGACTTCACATATTTTTTAAATAGTTCTGAATTGTAATATTTCTAAAATCAGAGAAATGGCAAAAAAATCTCATTTAGGGAAATTCAAATACTAAATCACTTTAGTTTGACACATTTATTTCCAAAAAAACTACTGGGAGAGATTTGGGTCTAAGAATACTGTAAATAATCCATAATTGTACATGCTTCTCAATAACATGAGAGGAAAAGTTCAAGAAGTAGTGCCTTTGACCCACTAGGCTTCCTTATTTCCTTCTACCAACTTCCACAAAAAAGTTTCAGTAGCTCTAACAAGATAATTTTATTCTTTACACAGATTGAATCTTTCTACTAGCCGTTTACTTTTCTTCCTTTCCATGCTTTCTTCTGATCTGATTATAATAGAAACTAATTTACAATGTGAAGCTCTAATAACAAAAGAGCATTAATATCATATTTACACAGCTCATTATGTAAAGCATTCTTTGTATTTTATATTAGGCATAATTCTCCTCATTTTAGGGGTCATTAAGTGTTTTGTTATTGTCATTCTTATTACAATCATTACCAACCACCTCCCTCTTCTTTCAACAGATGAATGCTGGCTGGGAAATACCTAAGAGGAATTATTATTTGGGTTTACTTGAGAATTACTTTTAACAGCTAAAACTGTGTAACTTTATGAGATGATACATAACAAGTGTTTGATTTTTCATTTATACCCTAAATATGTTTTATATATTTGTTTATATGTATCAATATTTCATTATTAAACATCCGAGCAATTCAAGCAACTACTCAATAGGACCTAAACAGCAAAGCAAGGGAGGGACATTAGCCATCAATGGTAAACAGGATAAACAGTAGGCAATGATTATCAAGGAGAACTACACAACCAATATAATATTGTAAAAAGTAAATAAATATAGGATAAAGTAACGTTTTTTTTAATATATTTTTAAAAGTACGAAAAGGTACATGCACTCAGAATTTATCTATTTCTTCAACTACTCCTCCCACCTGTTAACTTTTCCCCATCTTCACTGTCACTAGTCTAAGCAAGCTAGAATCATCTTGCGTGTGGACTTCTGCAGTGGTGTCCAATCTGGTCTTCCTGAGTTGTCTGTGACCCCTCTTCAACCCATTATGCACAAAACAGACAGAATATTCTCCCCAAAATGCAAACCAGATGCTATCACTCCCCTGTTAAAAATACTCAGTGGTTTCACACTGCCCATAGGATAAAGTCCTA